TTTCTTATGTGCCTGAGCTGAGATGATTTGTACTAAACTACACTGATCGTAAGATCAGAAAATACATCCAAAGTAAGTGATAATGAACAACTAGCTGTTTTACTGGGCAGTAGATTAGAACTGAGCTCAAATGCATTTTTTCTTGGCCAAGGTCTCTTTAGTAAGATTTACATTATTAAACAAAAAGCCTAAGAAAAAAAGTTTAATACGATCCATTTTGATTAGCAGCTGACAAATTCATGGAAGCAGACAAGTTAGGTATTGAAAAGACTAGCTAGCTTGTTATAATCTACCTCCCTTCCAGCACAGGATGGGTCATTTAATTGTTCCCTCCTCAACACCAATACAGAAATCAATACAATATCATCTAATTCATGCCTCTGTCAAAGTAGACTTTTTCAGTATGCAACATTCTCAGAATTTTCTTGTCTATTGCTTAGTCAATTTTCCTTTGTCCTTTTTATTGCTAATAATAAATTCCCAATTCACCATACGAACCTGATGGGTATTAAAAAGAGGGGGAGGGGTTTCTATTTCTACCTTTTAAGAAAATAAAATTTGAAATGAAAAGCTTTCTGACCAGCTCCACAGGTAATAAGTATGAAGACAAAAAAACCTTTAAAAATTGCCATCTTCCTGATAGCTTGTTTTCATTCTGAGTTCCTGCAATTGGAAATTTTGCAAAAATTCTGAACATTGAAGATGTTGAACAGTTTTGCTTTACATAACCTTCTTTCAACCTATTACTCACACTTTTAAAATACTACAAGGCAGTTACCATGCTCCTTTTGTGAAATTATGTAGCCAAGCATCCTGTGTACATTTTTTCCTTCTTTCAGTCCCTCTTCAGTTCTGGGCACCATTTTAGTGTTTAATGTTATCACCTGGAGGACAGAGACAAAGAGCTTTGCACTAAGGTCTTCATAAGTGAAGAGCCTTTCACTTTACCAACAGGAGTCCTACCAAGGTAGAATTCCATTTCTGGCAAAGTGGCCATATCAAAATGACATCTTTCTGCTTAACAAATCCACTCCCTATATATGCAAAGTCATAGCTGCTAATCCTATGGACAATATATGTTTTTCCTGCTTTTAGCTACTGTTAATTTTGCAGAGCCAACATAATGAAAATAAAAGACTAAGCTACACTCTATTCATTCTTTGTTATCTTTCAGAAGATTTTTTACTGAGCTATATCATGTCATTGAGGGTCTAACATGTCTTCTGGTATCAGGAGCTTTATTATGGTCTCCAAGGGAGGAAACAAAGAGAAAAGCATTCACATTCACTTGGAAAAAGCAGCCTGCAGAGATAAAAATCAGTTACTAAGTGTTTTTACTTTGAAACTGAGCACATATGATAGGCAAATAATTGAGAGAAAATAAATATGTAACTGTTTTAGAGGTGCTTTTTATTTTAAACATTTTGCTTTGAAGTGATGAAATTTTTACACAAAATCATGTATCATACATGTCCTGATAAGATTTGGATTTCCCATATATTACTTTCATTTAACCCTGAAATGATGTTGTACAACTGAAAAATAAATACTAAAATCATGCCAATTTTTCTGATATTAAAGATATTTTCTTTTCTCAAAGTTTTTGCATTCACAAAAATATCATTCAAAAATGTCTGTAAATAAATTAAATTGAGACAACTAAGAATCTGGCTGCACCCACCAGTCAGCTACATACATGCTGATCTGATGCTAATTGCACCCCAGTAATTATTGAGGTAAGGCAGCTTTTAAAAATCCTGTCTTTTTTATGGCAATGAAAATGAATATCACATCCGAAGAGAGAGGTGTACAAAAGTCTCAGTGGAATTCATTATGCTTTTTTGAACCAAATGTTTTATCAGCAGGTCTTTTCCATGATATTCAGAACAAGTATAATTAGAAAAGAATTCAGCTAACTTGGAAAGAATGACTGTTCATAACTCATCATGTTAGAAAGCTGGAAGCAATACAGCAGAAAGAAATTAATGGAACATTTAGATCAAGAAGAAAAGATGCCGTTTCTTCATCCTTCGAGAATGCATACTACCGTATGCAAATGAAGTGGTTCAGTAATACCTCTGCAAATAAGCAGCATGAAACTTATTTTCAGTCTCAAGACCACATGCTTACTTTTAGCCAAGGGTTGGTCAATTGATAGGCTACAGAGCATGCTACAATAACAGGGGTCTCAGGGATTTTAACTTCCTGAGCTCAAAGCACAATGGAACTAGTGGCTAGTGCCAAGGTAATTTTAGTTTATCTAGGCACTCTCCATTCTACAGCTAAGTGCGCCCCAGATTTAAGCAAGAACAGGTTAAGTTTGCCAACACCCCACAAAACTAATAGATTATGACAGAAGGACCTTAAAGGAATGCATGGAAACCCTACATGTGCCTTCCTTCTCTGGTTGTGCCTACTACCAAAGTCATCAGAAGATGGCAATGGCTGGGAACTAGATTCAATGACCCAGGAGGTTTCTTACAGTCATATAGTCATATGGTGGACAAAGACAACTGAAGTCAACAGAGAGGCTCTAGTGATGAAGTAAGGCTCAATAATGGAGTTCTAGTTTCCACTAAGTTAGTGAACATCAAAATCCTTATTCTGATCTCACTTATGTCCATAAAAATCAAGGTTAATTTCTCTGAAGTCAATGGAATGACACCAGAATGGAGTCCAGAATCAAATTTCATACTTGTCTAACCATTTTCTGTAGACAACTAGCATTTTCTCCAATGTCTCCTGGGGACTACATATCTGATTCATTAATTCATGTGATCCCACTGTTAGTTCTATCTAGCCATGTGCATCAAGTTCAAAATTCTTGTTCTCACAATCGTGATTGCGTACCACCTTGCCATCCCCTTCACTAATCTTGTTTTCTTCCCTCAAATCCTCTCTGCCAACAAAGCCAACTTCATTTGAATCCTTCTCTGACTCCTGTCTCTCATTATTTATGCATCTCTTATGTACAGTATGCCTTCCAACATGCCTCGTGTGGTTCACTCCAGACAACCTTGTATTTGTTGTGCTCCTTCAGTACCAAAGAGGGTGAGACATTAGCAAGACATTCTTCATGAGGATTCCTCAAGTCTAAAACCCATGCTCCCACATGGCAAGTCTAATTCTGTTGACCCTCAACAACAGATGAAGTTTCTGTTCTTGTGGGTGTTTTCCTCTTTCAATTTACTTGTAAACAATTAGCAAAGGCATCTAAAGATCTTAGTTTGGTTTGTTAAAAATCACAATGTGTAAAAATAAATTTTAAATGATGTGGGTATTCTGCATCTGGGTAACCAAAGGTCTCTAACTATTTTATGTATCTCTTCATCTCATTCCTCCCTATTGTATGTTATTCCTATTTATTGCATTTCATCTGAAAGTAGGTTCTGAACTTGCTACTTCATCTGCAAGGTCCTCATTTCAGTGAATCCTGTGGGCTCCACTGCAAGACCAAGCTCCAAGGCTGTAAGTTCTTCTTTAATGGAAGGATCTTGGTTTTTTCTGTGATGTTCCCACTACATTTTTAGGTGCTGTATAACTAGCATAACAATAATATTGGTATGCCCCTGCTCTTACCCTCCTCAAACCTTCTCTTCCTGCTCCTGGATTGATGTAGCTCTCTTGCTGCTTTGTTGGCCACTTTTTCCATTTTTATTTTCCAAGGAGAGACTTCCTCTGAATTTTCATTCCAAATGGTTACTTTGTGGGGAGAGGAAGAGTAGCATCCCCCACTCCCCACCTCCACTACAGGTCTGAGATCCTAACGACACCCCAGAACAAAAACACAGCACAGTACAGTGCAAACAAAGCATAAAAGTTAAAAGGCTAATTTAATCAATGAGCATAAAACATAATTTACACTTAAACAATGAGTATTTATGATGTTCCCTTCATTCCTTGCATGGTGAACAGGCCCAGTTCTGTATACTTAATCAGAACACATTTTAAATCACACTGTATAATATACTTTGTGGCAATATGTGATGGCCAAAGTATATAAAATATGATGAAGTTAAGAAGTTGCAGCTGAACTAACAATATATTCTCCTGGAAGGGAGACATTAAATAAATCGTGGATGTTTTTTGATAGCCAATTAAAGTTCCTTTAAGAGCTCTGTTGCATTTGTCTACATTCTTCAGTCATAACCCTTTAAACAAGCATATGCAACCATAAATATTGCCTAAAAATACCAAAGAATTAGCCGTTAACTGTGTCTCTTGCAAAGAATACTCAGCGTACAGAACACGAACTTAGACCACTTCTTGTAAAGAAGTAATCCGTTTAAGACAGTGTTAGGTAACTATAGATTTGTATTTCTGTGGTATTCAAGCATGAATGTTTACATATATTTTTAAAGGACTTGTAAGGTTTATCTGTGGTCAAATGTAGCTTTTATACCAAGAGAACATGTGTCTTCATGGTGAGAAAAAAGCAAAACTCTACCCCTTTGTAAAACAATGTCTTTTTGTAGATTTCCATGAAGGAAATATTTACCAGCTTTACAGTAAAAACAGACATTTGCAATGTCTGAGGTGTGATGTTCTCAAATGATTAAGGAGTCAAGCTTATAAAACAATAAAGCTTGTTTATTCAAACAGCAGTACCTTGCCTCAGTTCTGCTGTTCCCTCCTGCAATCCCTGGGCAAATTTAACAACTTATACCTAACACTCCTAAAGGTATCCACACATCTTCCCCCTTTACATGTAACATGTCCCCATATAATGCTAACATTGGAAGGTTAGTTCAACCCATAGGTAAAACACATTTTGACAGGTCTCTATTAGCCTTTGTGTTGGCCTTTTAGCTCTTAGTGATCTTCTCAGTTTCTCTGCATTAACAAATCCTTATTGCTTCAGTTCTTGTTTTGTTTCCTCATTCAGATGTCTCTACTTCTGTGTCATTTTCAATCTCCTCTGTTGTTTCTTGTTGTTTTGATGTTAGGTCTGTTTCCCCTGATGAATCTCATGATGCTGCTTCTTTTCTCCCCTTTACCAGCTGTTCCTTCTTAACACCTGTCCTTCCAGTGTGACTACTTTATAGGATCTGTGAGCACCTTGATGGGAAACTAGTGCTTTTTGTTTCCTTCTTCATCCATCTGAAATAAGCACCATATCTTTGCTGTGCAGTTGTGGTAACTCCCTGGAAACCTTGTCATAGAACAATTTTTTGAGCATGTCGATTTTTTTAAAGTTTTTTCACATCTTGCTTTTCATTCGGATGAGCATCATCTGCAAGATTTGGCAGTCTGATTTTGAGTTTCCTATTAAATAGCATTTCTGCCGGGGACAATCCATGATTCCTGGGTGTTGTCCTGTAACTTAAGAGTGACAGGTAGACATTGGTGTGTGAATCTGTAATTTTTTTCAAAAATTTCTTCACTATGTGTACTCTGTTTTCCACCAGACCATGGGATTGTGGGTATTTAGGCCTCAAAGTGCTGTGACAGAATCCATATTTGTTTGCAAACTCTCTAAACTAAAGACACATGAACTGAGGTCCATTGTCTGTTCTCACAATCTGTGGAAGAACATGTCTAGCAAAAATTGATTTGATGTGACTTATAACATAGTTTGATGTGAGTTATAACATGTTTGCTGAAAGCATGGTATGCTTTCTAGCAATAAAATTTCAGGATAGTGAGAATAATAATCCAGCACTAATACATAATTTTTTCCTGAATGCATGAATAAGTCAATGCCCACTTGATACCATGGAGCTACAGGCTCCTCCATGACCATCATGGGCTCTTTTCTTTGCATTAATCTATACTTTGGGCATGTTATACAAGCCTTCATAGCATCTTCTATGTCATTATTTATGTTGGGCCAATATAAATCACCCTTTGCTCTCCTTTTGCATTTTTCAATGCCTAGATGCCCCTCATGTATTCTATTTAACATGTCTTTCTTTAGCACTACTGGAACAACAAGTCATGAGCCTTTGCAAAAAGTGATAACAGCTATTTGTGCTGGTTAGCCTGGAAAACATACACCTAGCCCCTGCCCTCAGTTCAAGGAAGAGCTATCAGTACTGGATGGCATTTTGTTCAACGTGGTGTCCCGAGCAGTAGCTTCTGCAATTAATGCCCAAATTTTATCTGTGACAGGAATCACTCTTTTAGTTAGATCATATCAGAAAATCATAGAATCATAGAAGTAGGGTCAGAGGGGACCTTGTAGATCTTCAAATCCGACCTCCAGCCTGGGCGGGAGAAAAGACTGGACTCAAATGAGTCCAGCCAGGACTCATTTGAGTCCAGCCCTAACTGTGAAGTAGTTCTTGCGGATGTCTAATCTAAACCTACTCTCTAATAATTTGTGTCCATAGATGAGCATGTATTATGTCTGCGTCTGGAATTCTGGCATTTTTTGTTGTGTCATATGCTCTGGACAGTGTATCTACACTAAGAAGATATTTTCCTGGTGCGAACAGTATGTATAGCTCATACATTTGCAGTTGAAAGAAAAGTCTCTGTAATCTGGGTGCCATGTCTCATACCCCTTTCTTTGCTATAGTTACCAAAGGTTTATGGCTAGTTTCAGCTATCACAGGCTTCCCACAGATGAATATATGAAATTACTACAGCTATATACCAAGCTAAACTTTCATTCTCAATTTGTACATATAGACACTCTGATTTAGAGAGTACCCTAAATGCATATGCTACTGGTCTCCAGCTAGCCCCATGTTTTTGAAGCAAAGCTACTCCAATGCCTTCTTGAGAAGCTTCTGTAGACAATTTAATAGGTCTTTTAGAGTCATCGTATTTTAGTACCAGAGCTTTCATTATTTTTTCCTTCAAGTTTTTAAATTCAGCTTCATGTTCATGTTCCCATATCCACTGAGCATTCTTTTATAGGAGTGATCTAAGGTGTTTGGTCTGCTCTACTAAGTTAGGTAGGTATTTCCCTACATAACTGATCATTTCCAGTAATCTTCGCACTCCTTCCTTATCTGTAGGGGTTGGCATGTTTGTAATGTCTTTAACCCTTGCAGGATCAATTTGCACCCCTTTCTCAGACAGCTTTTCTCCCAAATATCTTATTTCTTTGACCCTGAATTTGCATTTTCTGTTGTTTGTTCAGTTTCAAACCTGCTCTGCAAGCTCTTTCTGGTGCCCTTTTTTGGTCTGAAGTCATGTTCTTCCAAAGTATTTCCCCAAAGTAATACATCATCAATATAAACCATAGTTCCATCAAGACCTTCAAAA